CCTGGAGGTCACATGCATTAGGGGAGGGGCTAAGGACTGGGAGAATAGGAAAGTCATTCCAGAGTCATCAAAGGCGGAATGGCCACTGGCCGGAGGGCTGGAGACTGCAAGTTTCTGGAGGGCTGGCGTTGAAGCCGGAGGAGGAGGCTTTCAGAGTTGAGGGGACTTGGGAGTTCCAGGGCCCAGTCCAGAATCCTTAGGTGTGCAGAGGCTGTTCCCCTGTTCTTTGTATATGGGGCAGGATGTGCAGAGAGGATGTTAGGGGTGGGAGGCCGGTGTATCCAGAGAATATGGGGGAAAAGGTGAGAGATTGTCAAGGCTTGGTCTGGGCATTTCCTGTCCTTTCTCACTCCCACCTCTCTTCCTGTCCTGTGTCATGCCAGCCTGTGACTGTTTCCCTGGTATTTGACAAATGGCCATCTCCAGCTGTGCTCACCGGGAATAGTCAGGGATAGTTGAGTTTGAAGCTTACGCACTCCCAGTTAATCACATAGTCAGTTAATCACCTTCCAGAGGGAGGTGAAATACCATGGTGTGTTTCAAAAGTAATTTTGTAGAAAAACTATATTAAGGGCTGTCTCGGAAAAGAGGAAGCCTGTTGACTCAATTTCCTACCTCCCCACCAACCAAAGCGTTCGCTCTGGCTAAAGGAGCAATTTTGCTCATTTTCGCTTTTGTTTTTTTTTCAAACCTGAAAGAAATGTCTCCTCTGTGTTTTTGTGGAGACTGGATAAATGAGACGGAAAGATGGGGGCAGGTATGGGGAGGTGACGGGAGTTGGCTGCCGAGTTACCTTTGTGATCCGTCTCTGCAGAAGCCAGCATTAATTCTGTGGAGACTCAGCAAGACTGATACCCAGCAGTGACAGTTTGGACATCTGAACATGACCTTGGATGTGCTCAAAACCACAGCTGAGGCGATGCCAACTCTTCAGTGTAGTATATCACAGGGCCGCATAACCGTGCTGGAAATTGGCTGCCTTCGGCGTGTTAGCATGTCTGCAGACAAACCTCTCTGGCCCTGTAATGTGGTGTGGGTGGTGGGACGGTTTCCATTTCAGTCCATTTTCGATAATTAGATGCACACAGGGAAGCCCAGGACAGTCCTCTTGTATCCATCAGGAGGTTGTGAGATGCCCCACTGTGGGCATCGAAAACAATTATTGAAGCAGTTTAGAGTTTATTGGTCAGCATTTCCTGCACCACGGCCATTCACCCGGTATCTGGTCACGTTTCAGCTGCTGCAGGAAAAAATAAAGGACTGCTTCTGGCTTCCCAGAACATACTGGTTTACAGGAAAGTTCTCTTTTGTAAGGTAATGGAAAACTGTTTCAGATGAGGATCATGTCCTGGTGCCCATTCACTTTGCTGTTCTCATTTTACTAGGAGCCAGCTATCCAAACCAGCAGTTCTCAAAGTGCACTCTCCAGCTTCAGCTTCACTTGGTACTGTATCAAAAGCACAGATTCTCAGGCTCCACCCCAGACCTACTGAATCAGAAACTCTGGGGGCAGGAGCCCAGCAATCTCTGTTTTATCACATCTTCCAGGTGATTCTAATGCATGTCAAATTTGAAAAACACTGGTTTAGATGTTATTTTGAAAGACTCTGCAAAAATTGTGAAGAACACTAAACTTGAAACAAAAACAACAGAACTGTGTTTGAATCTTGGTTTTGCAGCATAATATCAGTATGATTTTAGTCAATGTGGATAATGTTTCTTAGCCTTAGTTAATCTCATTCATAAGTTGGAACCAATGCATGAACCCAAGAAACTTTTTGAGATGATAAAATAGAGCATACGATAGGCTTGCAAGTGCTCAGCATGTAGTAGTATGTGTTCAATAAAAACTGGCCACGGATGTGAATTTCTCCAGTTCCCTGCGTGGACTGAAGCAGAGGTCAGAGCAGTGACTGCTCTTCAGGTTATCAGTACAATGTCACTGGTACATCACTAGCAAAGCAAGCTGTAGAGTGTGTTGTCGTTCTTGAGGGATTTCAAACCAGTGTGGTTCCAAATCATGTTTTGGGTGAGGTGGAACAAAATTCAGATCGTCAGGTCTGCAGTGTCAGGCCCCCCCCCCCCCCCCCCCCCCCGGGCCTCCATGGGCGGCACATTTCGCCCTCTCTTTCATTCTCAGAGTGTGTCCTGGACATTGTCATCAAAGACAAAGGGAAGGCTCGGAGTACACTCTAGACCATTCTGAACTTCACACACATTTGAGGTGCCCGGAGTTCTTATTAAAACGTAGATCCAATTCACGACCTCTGAAGTGCAGCCTGAGACTCTGCATCTCTGACAAGCTCCCCAGTGACACTAATGCTGCCGTTTGCTGATCACACATTTGCACAGTGAGGTGCTAACTCAGTGCTTCTCAAGCCCTTATGTGCCTATGATTCACTTCTAGACATATGCTACTTGAGGAATGGTCCAGGGGGGGCCACCAGCATTGTCATCACCTGGGAGCTTACAAAAATGTAGAATCTCAGGCCCACCCCAGACCTACCAAATTAAAATCTCCATTTCAGCAAGATCCCCATGTATTAGTCTGTCTCTGTTGCTTATAACAAAATACCTGAAGCTGGTTAATTTGTAAAGAAACAAGATTTATTGCTTACAGTTTCAGAGACTGGGAAGTCCACAGTTCAGGGGGTGCATCTGGTGAGGGCCATGTTGGTGTAGGTGACTCTTCCCTGTCATGCAGGGTGTCACATGGCAAATGACTTGAGCAAGAGAGAGCTATCTGCTCACTCGCTCTCCTTTTAAAGCCATCAGAACCATGCCTGTTACTCCATGAATGGACCAATCCATTCACAAGGGTGCAGTTCTCACAATCTAATCACCTCTCCAAGGCCCCACCTTTCAACTCCCATAATAGGATTTTTCACCCTCTTAACACTGTCACAGTGGGGATTCGTTTTCTAATACACAAAACTTTTGAGGACACATTCAACTCATAGCACCCCAGGTGATAAGCACAGCAAAGTTTTGAAACGAGTTCAGGGCTGGCATCGTGCTGTGCTCATTTGCATAGGAACCTATGCTTGTCTTAATGCTGTGCTCTTACCATCTTGAAATTATTATTAATTCTTGAACAAAGGACTCTATGTTTTCATTTTGCTCCAGGCCCCCCAAATTATGTAGGTGATCCTAGATACACCGCTCTACACCACTGGTTTTCAAACTTTAGGGTATATATGACCTGACTGGAATATTGTTCTAAAGTTATATTTCTGAGTTTTTAAAGCTTTTGAATCAGTAGGACAAGGCATGAGACTAAGAATCTGTAACAGATCTCTTATGTGATCCTGATGTTAGGTGGTCCATGCCAACTTCAAGAAATAGTCCTCTGACCTTTCCCTAGTTAGGTCTTCCATCATTTCCATGCTGTGTCAGACTGATGCCAGAAAGACTTTGCATCTTTCCCGTATCTTTCTGTGATCCTCGAGAAAATGCAATAAACAGCACAAAACTTGTTGGACACCAGCGCAAAGGTGTTTCTCGTTGGGCAGTTTTCCCCACAAGAGCTCTTAGCAAGCCATCCATCTGCACCTAAGTGGCCCTGCAATGACTGTGTGACACTTATCCAAGTACAGCAGAAAGGGTGAACAGTACAGAATGTGTCATGTGGAGAGGGACTGCCTGGGGAAGCTGGTCTGCTCAATAGCAGTTCCTAGATTTTTGGGTTGTTTTTTTGTGTGTGTGGTCACAGACTATTCTGTGAATTCAATAGAAGCAAGCAGTCCTCCCCAGTGAAAAAATTCACCCATGTACATCCTAAGACACACACATGACCAGGAATTAGAATACTTGGCCAAGAGGTCGGATTCTACCTCTCCTAGCTCCCTTACCTTGAACGAGTCTCCAAGACACTTGGAATCCTAGATACTGATCTCTAAAGTAGAAAATAGGCAGGAGCGTCTAACTTGCAGAGTTGTTGCAAGAATCAAATGAGACAGTGAGAATGTAAAAGTACCTTGTGCACTGCAAAAGAAGGTATACATTTGAGTCATCATTATTCATACCATGCTATATTGCTATTTCCAGCATTATAGGTAGGATCAGGACACCCTGTGAATTTAGCCTAGGGCTGTAGAACATTCTTGGTGTCACAGGAGAGGGGAATGACTACAGATGGGAAGATGGGATGAGGACTTGGCGAGCGTCACTGGGCTATTTGAAAGTGTAGAAAAGAGAAGGGAGCTTCTACAATTTGGGGACTCCAGATGCAAAAATAAAAGAAAGAAGATCTATTTTTACATGTGCAAACCCTTCTGAGACTTTGGAAAATGCCTTCAGTCTAGCAGTAACTGAACATTTCTGCCCCTGGGTACAATGGAGATAAATAGCAACGATGGTGGTCCATATTTAGTTTTGATTCAATAGCCTTCTGTTGGAATTCACTATTCTGAGATGAGAGGAATTATGTTGAGTAGTTGAAAGCTGTGTCTCGCTCTAGTACATATTGACTGTGTGACTTGGAGAATTCTTCAGTTTCTCTGTTTCTCAATTCCTTTTCCAATAGAACATTTCTCACAAGGTTGTTGTAAGTATTGAACAACTTAGTACACCCAAAACGCCTCGACAGCAGTGTGAGGGATTATTACCCTCATCTACATCGTGGAACTCTGTGAACAAAAAGAGGTTCAGTAGTGTTCCCCGGGTCTAGACATTCTGGGTATGTCAGTTGCCTCCAGATTATAACTGAGAGGTTATTTGAAGTGGTCCTGTGCTCAGGGGGTTTAAGAAGCACTGAACTGCTCAGGATCCAGAAGTCTGAGACACCCAACGTTCTGAGGCTATAATCTCATGAGGCCTCTGCTGCTGAGTTCCAGAAAGTTCCATTCATGACAAATCAAAGGAAATGGATGTGTGTGCAGTTGGGTCAAGGAGAAAGACAAGGCGTGATCACAAGACATCCTAGCCTTGCCATGGAGACTCCACTCTGATGGCTATTTTCTTTCTAGTCTCTTGACTTACTTGTCTGGTCTTCCCTTCAGGTGCACGATTGACAACCGGGTCACCCGGGTGGCTTGGCTAAACCGCAGCACCATCCTCTATGCTGGGAATGACAAGTGGTGCCTGGATCCTCGCGTGGTCCTCCTGAGCAACACCCAGACCCAGTACAGCATCGAGATCCAGAACGTGGATGTGTATGACGAGGGCCCGTACACGTGCTCTGTGCAGACAGACAACCACCCAAAGACCTCGCGGGTCCACCTCATTGTACAAGGTAGGCGTTGCTTGGCTGGGAGGTCTGGAAGGGAGGCTGGGAGAGCCTGGATTTAAGGACTTTTTCTGTGATCCTCAGCAGAGATGAGTTCTGTTTGTTCTGTCCATCCAGGACACCTTTCTGGTTGTCATTTTGCGGTTAGAAGTTGGATTTTACAATAAATTTACTCATCAAGTAGAACTAAGATATTTTCTGACTTTTGTTCTAATAATACATTTCTCAGAAAATTATCTTTTAATAATTGCTCTCCTTGGCTTTTTTCTCCCCTAAGTTTGTCTGTTTGTTTGCCTTTTGTTTAGGTCCCATCCAACTCCCAGCTTGCTTTATTTTTTTTAATTTTTTAATTTTTTTTGTCTTTTGTCTTTTTTCCGTGTCTGGCAACGGATCGCAACCCTCAGTGTTGCCCCCGTACCGGACCGGGGACCGGCAACGGGATTGCGACCCTCGGTGTTGCTCCCGCGCCTCACTCAGCCAGTGAGCGGGAACCGGTCTGTATGTGGGATCCGAACCCTCGGGCGGGAGCGCCGCCGCGCTTCCCAAGCGGCGCACTATCCAGTGCGCCACCCGGCCGGCCCCAGCTTGCTTTATTTTAAGACCAGCATTTTAACGCTCTTCTGGCACTGTGCTTGTGCCACACCCTAGCCCAGCCTTCAAGGAGAGCAGAGTCAACCAGCAGGCCTGGCCGCTTCCCTCAGATCCGTCCCTCCCAGCCACTCCCTTGTCTCCAGCAGCTTGTGCCTTTGCTCCTCTCCCAGCCCAGGCATTTGACGCCCCATCTGCCTATAATACCTGCGTCTGCTTCTCTTTGTTTTGGTTGCACCCCACTCTCCTCCGCTCCTTCTGCACCCCCCACCCCAGCCTTTGAGGCCTGTGCATGCGTTTGTTTTGTTTTGTTTTTAGTTTCTCTTTGTTCTGCTTGCTCTGTTGCTCAGACCCTGGGAATGGTGCTGATCTCTTCGCATGAAGCAAAACTGGTCCCAGGGTGTGGACAGATTCCTAGTTAGAGAGCAAGAGCTGAGGGTCAGACTTGGCTGTTCTCTGGCTGTGAGACCTTGATCAAGTTGTCACCGTGTCTCAGGGGTCTCTTTCTGTAAAATGAGTTAATGTGAGGAGCAAGGTTGAGGGTTACATTTTCCATATACGAATGTGTAAAACACTTAGAAAAGAGCCTGTCATGTAAAAGTGCTGTTTAGGTGTTAGCTGTTGTATTTTCTTTTCATTTTCAATACTGTTGCTATTTCTTAACTGTTTAAAACACCTCTACAATAAACCAAATAGCTCGTTTTCTTATCTCAGAAGCTTAAGGTCCTGAGCAGTGGATTGCTAGCTTCTCTGCTGCAGAGTTTTTCCCAACCTGATTCACCACGTTCCCTTCATCCAGCTAAATGGCAGGTTCAGGGCAGTAAACTTGTCATCTCAGGGATCTGGGAGCCGACCCTCATCAACACGCCCAGGACAAGGGTACAGATTGTGGGATGATTGTTTAGAGAAACAGTGGGAGTAAAAGTAGCTTGAGGAAGAAGAGCTCAGGTGAGCTGGAAGAATTTGGGGAAAGCCAGCTGTGAGCAGGTAGAAGAAGCCAGAGTGGGATCCTAGATCGGAACCGTGCGGAACGGTAATGAAAAGAGGACGCACTGAATGAGGGAGACGCGGGCCCAGCTCTGCCCGAGATGATGCTGGGGCACAAAGTTTGGTCATTCCAACTTGTTTTTCTTCATGTTTTAAGGTGTATATTTATTTGCAAGGTGATACATTAAAACATGATGCAGTTACAGATGTCTGATAACTCCATTTTCATGAAAAAGTATATAAATATACTTTACAGGAAATTCTATGTAGTCAACATTAGAAATTGATACAGAAAACATTTGCTACTTTCTTTCTATGCCAATATTACTATCATTTAAAGCTTAAATACCAGTTTCAAGTATCCCCTATAAAATACTTTATTTTGTTAAAATACTGGAAAAAAAATTGCTATAGACAAGATTGGAGCGTTAAAAATAGACTCAGCATGTCCTTGTGACAATGTACACCATAATCAAATGCCGAGTTTTTATTATTTTTTTTCTTACTCTTTCTTCCTTGAAGTTGGTTCTTATATAATGAATATTCTTAATGAATATTTTTCAACCTGCTGGTGCAAACAGCATTTTTACAGGAAGTAGAACTGAGTAGAAGGTATCAACGTGTATTACAAACAGCAGAGTAAGAATTTCTATGTGAGATTTTTGTTTCAGTGTGTGTACATTTTTAATATAAAGTGCATTTTGTATTGTGGATAGGTGGACAAAAATAAGTTGGAGAGGGACTATTCTCTGGGGAGGTTTGGTAAATGCTCCAGTGGCCCCATCTGCAGTCTGTACTGGGTGGTGCTTTTAAAGCCATTCCTCATGTCCACACCCACGCTCTTCCACAGACACACTTACTGTTGGGAGCAGAATTCCCAGCAATGTTGATGAGAGACCAGGAACTATGAACTGTCGTTACAGACATTTGCTTTAGGAAGCAGGACCTTCATGGAACTGGAAAATGTAAAGAATTGTGAAAAGTGCCAAAGCCTCCTTTAAAACAATGACCATGGTTTTGTCATTCTTTTTATTAATTCACCCCCAGCCCCGCCACACACCCACACACACCCACACACACCTTCCCTGAACTCCTGGCAAAGTGCCTTATACAAGTGAATATTTAATAAATGCTTATTGAAGCAAATGGCTGGAATTATAGCCCAGAGATCTTATATGGGCTCCAAGACAGAAGGTGGGGTAGCTGTGGGGGTAGGGTGGTGGGAGTGGGTGAGAAGATGGAGTCTACAGAAATCTCTCACATCCACTAATGGAAAATGTCTAATCCCCAGCTAGGTGTTTACATCTGTGACTTGGCTAGGTGCCCTCTTAAAATGACACACCACCTCAAGTATTGGAATCTCATCTTGGGCTAATTTTCAAATGCTGATGGGTATATTGATCTGGAAACAAGCTGGGTTAAAAAAGGCATTGGTCTTGTACACAGACTCAGCCCAAGCTAATCCGCTATCGATATGCATGGACTGAGTGTTATTGACACTTTAATGAAAAGAGGGCCATAGTTTTTTCAGAGCCAACTTGTCTCCCCTCTTCAAAGCAATCAGACAAACTAAATAGAAACAGACTCTTCTGTTTCTGTATCAGAAAGATGACCCATTACCATCCAGGATTAAGAAAAGAAAATATATTTATCTTGGGATCGTTTACTATACTGAATACAAACCCTAATTCTCGGAGCAAAGACTGACTGTCTGGATTTGAAGTTGCTGTTCAACGCTGAGCAGAATGTGGTATTAACTTTTCAAAATGGTATTATGATCATTAAAAAAAAAAAGAAAAACAGCAGCAACAAAAAAGAACTAAGTTGGTATTCCGCCCATGAGTATGCGTATTTATGTATATGTAGTCAGTTTCGTATATAAATAAATCCACACAGAAGGAAGGCAACGGTATTTTCACAGTATGGTGCACGCTGCCTAAGGTCTGGGATTGTGTCTTTCCCCTTAGTGTCAAATATCCCATCTACTCGCTGGGTCTTTGCACTGGACCCTCTTCCTCTGTGCTTGCGATTCCCATGCTTAGTTCTTACAGACAGCCGTGCTGCCATCTTTGCATCCGCCTAAGAATCCACCTGAGCCTTTTGTGTGTGCAATCACTAATGCCTTCGTTCATTCATACAGCGCAAGATCACCGAGAAACAACCCTGGTATCTAGTTCCCTGGCCCAGCACTTAGCACGTAGAGGTAGCAGGAACAGCTCCCCTTGAAGAGTTAGCTCACTTTCATGCAGAGAAGATGGACTTGTATAACATTTGGCTGAATCATCCCCAGGAGTTTAGCTTCTGGGAGTGTAGATGCTGTTGGCGGAATGCCTGCTCCAGCCACTCCCAGCAACACCTGAAGTATGGGTCCTCTTCCTCCCAAGTTATCTGGTTAGACATTTTAATAGCTTTTAGACATGACCAATACAAAACTCAGACTGGTTCATGTATGTGGCAGCCAGGATTCCCAGGGCTGCTGGGTACTGGTCCCCTCTTTAGCTCAAGCACTGGAGCTGGGGGTTTTCCAAAGCCCCCTTCAGTGTACACACCACCTTCAGTCCCCCACCCTCAGGACACCCTTTCCTGTGGCAAGCTTCAGATTTTGTGCTTCATTCTCCCAGATCTTTTTTTTTTCCCCCTGGGTTTTTAAAATCTGCAGGTAATAGTTCATATCCCCATGGCAAAGGAAAAAGGAAAGTGCTCAGGTCCTTTCTCGTGGTGAGCTTTTTCTTTTCTGGCACCTGCTGCTGTTGGACTGTCCTTTTTTTTTTTTTAATTAGGAAGATAGCTCTGAGGATGCCTAAATTCACCTGAACGTTTCCCATGGTGGGGGGTGGGGGGTGGTTTCTGAACGTCCTGGTGCTTCTATCTGAATCATCCAGGGTCAGTGTCAGGGAGAAGCAGGTCTGGGGCTGGAGACAGAGCCCAGGTGACCACATGGGGCAAGTCTCCTGGGAAAGCTAGGAGCAAGGGCCATCCTTTGGTTAAGGGTGACCCTGGAACCAGCGTGGGAGGGAGATGGAGAAGGCAGTAGAAAGTGGGGGTGTGTGTGTGTGTGACGAGAGAACTGAGCTAAGTAGCTGCTTGCCACAGTGACTATTTAAAATTAAATTTAAATTAGGTAAAATGAAATAAAATTTAAAATTTACTTCTTCCGTCACCCTAGCCACATTTCAAGTGTTCCAGTAGCCACACATGACCGGTGGCAACTGTATTGGACAGTGCAGATACAGGACATTTATATGAACTGTCATCATAGAAAATTCTGTTGAATAGTGCTATAAGTGGGGCTGGCCCTGTGGCTCACTCAGAAGAGTGCGGTGCTGGTAGCGCTGAGGCCGCGGCTTCGGATCCTATATAGGGATGGCTGGTGCGCTCACTGGCTGAGCGTGGTGAGGACAACACCGAGCCAAGGGTTACGATCCCCTTAC